CACTCGATCTCATTCTCCTGAATCAATCAATCTTCCATGGCCGACGAGAAGGAAAACTGCGTTAGGATGACGAGAGCGGCGGCGAAGAGAAAAGCTTCCATGGCGGCGACCATAGACGAGGATCGGCTCAGCAAGAAGAGGGTCGTCCTCGGGGAGCTTCCAAACATGTCGAATCTCTCGTTCCCCAATCAGGAAATAGAGATCAAGAAGACCCGAGAAGCCGTCTCTAGGGTTCCGACGAAGAAACAGAAGAAGAAGGTAGTTCCGACAAAGAAGGATACGCCGATTATAGATCTGGATTTGGACATTGACAGTAGATCTGATGATCCCCAGATGTGTGGTCCTTATGTTTCAAGCATCTTCGATTATCTCCGTCAAATGGAGGTAAAAAACACCCACAAATCTCTAACTTTTTTGTTCTGGAATTTTCAATTCGATCTGGGTTTCTTGTGTTATAGTGATTCTGGATTTGGTTAAGGACTAGGATTAGTGTATGATTTTGGTGGGTTTTGGCGAAATTTTTCAGGGGAATGCAAAGTCAAGGCCTTTGGTTGATTATCTTGACAAGGTTCAGAAAGATGTTACGTGTAATATGAGAGGAGTTTTGGTGGATTGGTTGGTGGAAGTTGCTGATGAATACAAACTTCTCTCGGACACTCTTTACCTCACTGTCTCCTACATTGATAGATTTTTGTCTGTTAAGACTGTTGATAGGCAAAAGCTTCAGCTTTTGGGAGTTTCTGCAATGCTTATTGCTTCGTAAGTAACTTCAAACCGTCTTTTGTTGTTGTTTGCGTCTCTTAAAGTCTGGTTTTTGCTTATGTATTGTGTTGAAAACATGTAGGAAGTATGAAGAGATAACTCCTCCAAATGTGGAAGACTTTTGTTACATTACAGACAATACTTACACTAAACAAGAAATTGTGAAGATGGAAGCTGATATACTTCTTGCGTTGCGGTTTGAATTGGGAAGCCCTACTGTGAATACATTTCTAAGGTTGGTTAGAATCTGATGCAAAGATGTAGCTTTTTAGTGGTTATGGTTGGATTGTTTCATTGTCTCATTCCTTTGTTGGTTTTTTGCAGACGATTCACAAGGGTTGCACAAGAAGATTTCAAAGTAAGCGTTCTCTTCCGAATTATGGCAATTTTGCAATGTCTAGAGTATCAATTTGCTAAGTTTTTTTTTCTTTCTTCAGATGTCACATTTACAGATGGAGTTTCTATGTAGCTATCTTTCTGAGTTGAGTCTATTAGACTATAACTGTGTCAAGTTTCTTCCTTCTATTGTGGCTGCTTCAGCGGTATTTCTCGCTAGATTCATCATCCGTCCAAAACAACATCCATGGGTAAAGCATTTAGCAATGCGGTTTCTCATTCTACTCTTTACTTTGTATAAGACACTAAATCTCTGATGATGAATGTGTAACAGAGTGTAATGTTGGAAGAATACACAAAATACAAAGCGGGTGATTTGAAAGAATGTGTTGGTATGCTACATGACTTGTATCTGAGCAGAAAAGGAGGAGTTTTACAAGCAATAAGAGAGAGATACAAGAACCATAAGGTAACTAATTAGCCACTATGAAATGATTTGAGTTTAAATGTGAAGAACAATGTTCTTGAGATTTACATGTTTTCTCTCTTCTATTTGGTACAAAACACAGTTCAAGTGTGTGGCGACTATGCCTGCATCGCCAGAGCTGCCTCTTACCTTTTTCGAAGATGTCAACATTTAGAGATAAACTTTGGTTCATCGGCAAAGATTATGTCCAAAACCGGGAAGCAGTTCATTAGTCCTAAAGTGTTTTGGGTTGTACATGTGTTAGGACTACTTCTAGTTAGGATTGAACATCTTATCTTTTGTTTAAAGATTTTGGTTTATGTAGTGAAGAAAACTTTTGTTTTGGGTTTTATTTGAGTTAATTTAAGGTTAAACTCTTTGTTGGTATTTCAGTTTCTTACAATTTGATCCTTTCATGAAAAGTGGAAGAAATTTGAATTTAATTTTCTACACCAAACTTGTTTCATTAATTCCTCTAATAACAACGATTGAGTAAAAGGTATTCAATTCAGTTCTGCAGTTTTCAGGTTTCTTCTCTATTGCAACTTCCTCTATGCTATATTCCAAAAACATAATTACAAATAGAAGAAAAAAAAAGTCAGTTATGGAGTTATTATTGCCACAAGATCTCTGTTAACATGAGCTGTACATCACTTCAACAAGTGACAGACAATATTCAAGACAAATATCTCCATAGCTTTCTCTTTTTAGGAACCCTATTGATTTCAGATTTACACAAAATAATTCAAGAGAAAACTTTGGCAGATAGAAAAAAAAAAAAACTTTATTGGCCCATCCCTTCTTTATTGTTGAAATTTACATGTGTGAATTTTTTTACAGTTACTGCATTACCCACTTCCAGTGAGAATTTTTTATGCCTCTGGTATAGGATTGAGTGTCTCCTGAAAGATCAAAACATGTTTTTCATCAAGAAAGCTAATCATTTTGGGAAAAAACTCGGTCAAGCATTGACTTTGAAAATTAAGATACATTTGTGAAAGTGAAGTGTTAAGTTTCTTGTTTTTGTTTAGTACCTTGGAGACCTTGGAGAAGCACACAAAGCCTTGTTGTGTATTGGAAGTTTTGACCATAGTTTCCCACTTGGGATTTGCTTGAGTTTTGGTGAAGTGATTATCATCAGAGCCAAGAGACTGTAACCATGTGAATGAATTGTTCTTTGATGGGATTGTTGGCAATGTACGCTTTAACCAAGAATCTGAAGGAGCTTTTGGTAATGGTGGTGGAGGAACAATGTGATAAGAGGAACGATGTTGAACCCTTGAGCTTTCAAGATTTGTTGTGTTTCGCTGCACTTGTACTTCAAGATCAATCTTCTTCTCCTTTGTAATAATATCTGCAACAATATCTTGATCAGGACATTCTTCGACTTTTCGACTTGAGAATTCAATGAACTCCTCATCTCTTTTAGCATTCATTTCCTCGGTGCTGCTTTTAGGCGGTGAGATCGCTTCTTCTTCTTCACAAGCTCCAATCAACTTCTGAACATCTTTCACAGGAACAACATCTAGTGAAGGATACTCTTTTGATATAGATTGTTCCTTGGACTCTTCTTGTACCTTCTTATCTACTGAATGCACAGTGTCTACATACAGAGTTTTCTCTTCCACTGGAGCCTCGGACGAAGAATTCCATGCAGTATCCTCACTAGCCAAGAGCTCACCAAAGTTTTTGCTGATTTTCGGGCGTGAAGTCGCGCTGGTGCTAAAGCTCTCGAGTTTTTCCTTTCCTTCTGGACTAGAAGATACTTGTAATGCAGTCTCTTGTGCAACTGATCCATTTAGTTTCTGCTTCCTTTTATCTTCATTCACAGTTTCATTCATAGAATCTTGATACTTAGACCGCATACGACGAACAGAAACAGCTCTCTGTGCCTGCATTCTCGCAGATGGAACCGGATTCAATACTCCGAAAGAGCTTCTCATACATATCTGAGGGAGTAATCCACAAACACCATAAGCCATAATGCTACTCCTGTTTCCATCTTCCTCTTGTTGATCAGGAGAATGATGAAATCGATACGGATTTCGCTCAACTTTGTTCTGTTTCTCCTTCTTCGTCACTTGCCTCATCGGTTCTTCTGGTTTAGGCGGTTTTCTAGCAAGATGTGGAGGTGTTGTTTCTGAAGTCCAAGCTTTAGCTGCAGGCAAGAATCTCCCCATCATTAGATCCTGAGTTTGTCGATCACTCGATAAAGTTCCAAATGGCTCTACTAATATCCCCGGACTATCCAAACCACTAACATTACTACAGTTGAAGAAGAATGATTCAGATCTTGAAAGCGTATCAGTTG